AATTTCAGGTCAAAATAATTGAAGGTAACTCCAAATTATTATCCAAAATGTACAATATACTATTGGAGTGGGACACAAAGGATGAGGAGATCAAAGAAGTCATGGTGAAATGGGCGATAGACCTAGGACATAGCATACCCTATGAGCAGTGGTCAAAACTGTGGGAGAAGGGAATAAAATTTACGGCGTGTGCCGCAATCAGGGAAAACATAGAAAAGATGATTCATAGATGGTATTTAACACCAGAAAAACTGAACAGGATATATAAGATCGGTAGCGGGGTCTGCTGGAGGTGCAAAGTAAAAGAGGGTAATTTCATGCATATGTGGTGGGCCTGCGAAGATATTAAAAAATTCTGGGATACTATATACAACGAGTTAAAAAAAATATTAAAATATACATTCCCAAAAAGACCAGAGGCCTTTCTATTAGGCATCATAGGAGAGGAGATTAAGAAAGAAGACGTAGTTTTGTTCCAGTACTCAACAGCAGCGGCCAGACTACTAATTGCTCAAAAATGGAAAAGCATGAGCACCCCAACGATGATGGAATGGCAAAATAAACTATATGACTTCTTTGAATTGGCAAATATGACGCAGAAAATCAGAAACCAAAAGAATACAAAGTTAAGGGATGATTGGGCTAAATTTATGGTATATATAGAAAGAAATTATGAAAACATACCAACTATAGTTGGTTTATTATAAAACTTTCGATGTCTCAAGTTATTAAACAACAACAGCTGTAAAAGTAGAATCTTGGAAAATTAGGAATCCGGAATCAAGAGGGATGGAAGTTGAATTGTATGTTGTCTTGTCTTTTCTCTACTTTTTTTCTCTTTTCTACTTTTTCTTTTTTTCTTTTCTCTACATCTATTGACTTTTGTTATGTGTATGTATTAAACGAAACTCAATAAAAAAAATCAAAAAAAAAATCCTCACTAATCTGGCAGTTCAGATTGCAGGGTCATGGGGGACTCTTGCTGCATTTCAAATATAACGAGTCGGGGGGGAATGAATTAGCAACCCCCACCCTGCACTTAAAGGATACAGTTGCATGACCAATGTCTCATGCTGTTGGAGAACCAATGAGGTGGGAAACGTAAGGTACCATGGGGAAGTAACCATCTGTGCCCGGAAGTCTTGGGAATGAAGTTGAATTGCTTGTACCTACAAATGAGGCATGGAATCTGCTGAGGTCGTCCTGTTCTAAAAAGGAATGCAATTTAACAGATGAAGCATAACGCAGGTAAAATTAATGGTCAGGGTGAACTTGGCCAGATGGGGACGATCTGGAGCGTTGATTACGAAAGTCATCGCAGCCTCATTAGGCCAAGAATGGTGCATGTTCCTTGTCATGTGGTGCTTAAATGAACTGGAAAGCGTGTCTGCTTTGTAGCAAAGAGAGGACATTCAGCAGAGCTCAGAACATATTTTCTTCTTCCTTATCATGAGACAGAGGAGCAGAGGCCATATTGAATGTGAGCATGTAGACAGTGGATGGGTAAGGACCTTGGAGTGAAGGAGGGCTCCTGCCCTTGACCCTCCCCTTTGCTCCTCTGCCTCTTTTGGGACATATGAAGAAGCCTGCTCAGTCAAAGACTCCACGTGGTGTAATATCCTTGTCTCAAGTGTAGCTATTTAAATACCAGCAAAAGCCAATGCAGCAGGGCATGGGGGCATCACTCATGGCCCCAATATTTACCCGTGAATGTCATGCAACAGTATTTATCAGACAGAGCAGCCTTTATCAGAGGGAGAAGGGAATAACCTTCCTTTCTTTCACACCCCCAGCAGAGAGAACTGTAAATGCAGAAGACTCTCAGTAGGAGGAGGAAATAGAAAGCTCCAAGATAGTTGCTGAGCAACCAGGAGGGTTGTTTGGAAGGCTCTTCTTTTGAGAGCATGGGGGGATCTCCTTCCCTCCCCTCAGACTAGGAGGTACAAAAGGGTTAAGGTGCAATGGAAGCAAGGAGTATGGAGATCGGAGAATTGGTGCACTTCCTGTTGCAGAGGAGGAGGAGATTTAGAGTGAACAATTGGTTCCTTTGAGAGAGTTTGGCACAATACCTCTCTCTCTGTGTTGTTGTAAATAAATGGCTAAAACCTGCCAGAGACTCATTACTTCTTATTGGAAGCTTTGTTGTCCGCCGGTAGACCTGACAGTTTGTTCACTCTCAAGTCTCTTCACATCCAGCGCCAGAGAAGCAAGCAAGGATGCCTGAGGGGCAAAGTACGTTGGCAGCAGCAGAGGCAGGGCCATGAAGAGGCCAGGAGCATCAAGGAGCCACATGTAGCCAGATGCAGATACTATGTGCTCTCATTCAGTATAGCCTCTGCTCCTCTGTCTCATGATAAGGAAGAAGAAAATGTGTTCTGAGCTCTGTTTAATGCCCTTTCTTTACTACAAAGTGGACACACTTTCCAGTTCAGTTCATTTTGCACCACATACCAAGGAACATGCATCATTCTTGGCCTAATGAGGCTGCCATGACTTTAGTAATAAATGCCCCAGATTGTCCCTAACAGGCCAAGCTCACCCTGACCATTAATTTTACCTGCATTATGGTTCATCTGTTAAATTGCATTGCTGTTGGGAACTGGACCTCCTCAGCAGATGCATGCCTCATTTGTAGGTACAGCCAATTCAACTTTATTCCCAAGACTCTTCCGGGCACAGGGGATTATTTCCCCATGGTACCTAACATTTCTCACCACCACATTGGTTCTCCAACAGCATGAGACGTTGGTCATGCAACTCCATCCTTAAGTGCAGGGTGGGGGTTGTTAAATCATTTCCCCATGTCTTGTAATATTTGAAATGCAGCAAGAGTGCCCCCTGACCCTGCAATCTGAACTGCTGGATTAGTGAGGATTCGTGGGTACGATTCTTCCCCCAGTACTTTTATACCACTTTTTGTATCAGGTGGGATTCTGATGCGGTTTACAAAGACTGCCAAATAAATACATCAAAAACTACAGTATATAGAAGACATGAAACATCAACAACCATAGAACAAGATTCTTCTCACTGAATAGTCACTGAAATACTCACCCACTAAAAACACCCCTATACCCGCTTCAACCTGCTCTCCCACACTTGCAAACACGGGCAGGGACACAGTATCCCACATCCCCATCCAATTCCATCCCTCCATTCAGAGGCAGGACTTCTCCAGACTGAGTGGAAGAGTGTTTTATGGGATGGATTCAAGCACATCTCAGGAAATTTAGGTTTTCTGCAATCAATGTGGATTAAAGGGGTCTGCTTCCCTCATGAAATGCCGTGGCGTAGCGTGGGGGGTGCAGGGGGCCCGGCCGCACTGGGCGCAACATCTGGGGGTTAGGGTTAGGGGGCGCAAATTACTTGCTGACAACCCACGCTACGCCAGTGATGAAATGGGTGGGGGGAAAGGTCAGATACTTTTCTCCACAATCCCCGGTGGGCCAAATGTAATAAGTGGTGTGTCTGCCCACCTGTCAATCAACTTACAGTGTTACCTCGGGTTAAGAACTTAATTTGTTCTGGAGGTCTGTTCTTAACCTGAAACTGTTCTTAACCTGAGATACTACTTTGGCTAATGGGGCCTCCTGCTGCTGCTGGGCCACCACACAATTTCTGTTCTCATCCTGAAGCAAAGTTCTTAACCCGAGGTACTATTTCTGGGTTAGCGGAGTCTGTAACCTGAAGCGTATGTAACCAGAAGTGTGTGTAATGCAAGGTACCACTGCATATCAGAAGGTCATAAACTGATGGTTGGAGTGTCAAAGCCCTGCATTGGGGCTCTTTTCCAGTCCCTTTCCAAGATCCCATCATTGCAAATGGAGGCCCAGCACTACCTGACACACCTTGTACAGGTGACTCATGTGTCCCTTGTCTGCACTGGGCACTCCTCCCACTCACCTCCGTGTTCATCAATACTCTTCTTCAACTGTGGCACCCATAATAAGACACAATACTTCAAGTGTGGTCTGACCAAGGCAGAATAAAATGGTACTATTACTTCCCTTCAACTGCACACTATACTTCTGTTGATGCAGCCTAGGATAGCATTAGCTTCTTTTTTGCTGTTTCGTCACACTCTTGGCTCATGTTTCGCTTGTTGTCTACCAAGACCCCTAGATCCTTTTCACATGTTGTACTGGCAAGCCAGGTCACCACCACCATCACTAGATTTCATCTGATTTAAAAAGGGGAAAGTTCCTTAAAATGAGGAGGTTGGGGAAAAGGGCAGAAATGCAAATTCAAGAGGGTCAAATAACTCCAAAATGCTTGGGAATTGTTTAAAGATACAATATTAAATCCCCAGCTTGTGTTTATACAGCAAACCAGGGTCCAAAGATAGAGAGCAGTAAGGAACACAAACTCGGGCAAGTTGAAAGATTTGGGCCAATAAAAGAAAGTATTTCACCAAGAGGCACATAGTGAAACTATGGGACTTGCTCCAGTAAGAGACAATGACGGCCACCAACGTAGATTGATATAAAAGAGGTTTAGACAAATTCATGGAGGAAGAGAGGGCTATTGATGGCTACTAGAAAAAGTGGCTATGCTCTGCCACCACAGTTGGAGGCAGCAATACTGGTTACTGGAAAGCTCAGGAGGGGAGGGGGCTCTTGTGCTCAGATCCTGCTCTTTGGTCTTGAGAACAGGATGTTGGACTAGGTGGGATTCTGGCCTGGTGCTGCAGAGTTCTTCTTATGTTCTTAATGGCGCGTGATTCCATTTCAGCAGTGGGATCAGGAATGGTCAAATTCGGGAAGGGTGAGACCCAGAGCGGAATGAACCAGCAGAACAGTCAAGGAAGGAGAATGAAGGAAGTCCACTCAACCCTGGCAAGGAGCTTAGTGTTCTCCATGCCATCATGAAAAGCTAGTTGCTCTTCCAAGCTTCACTTTGTTTTCGTCCAGAGATAGATCTTATCACCCAACAGAGCCTAAAAAGGGTTATATAAAGAAAGCAGAGAGCACCATCTCGGGCAGAGCCAAGATAAGAGGCAACTCTTCCTCACTTCTATTCCTCTCTGCTGACCAAAGGGAGACACCCTGATTCTGAGCCATCATGAAATGGTCTATCCTGCTAGCTGTAATGATCCTGGTTTGTGCTACAAGAATTTTGGCTAACGAGGAGAGCCACATTGAGGACCAGGCTGGCGTCCTAGATGATGTGAGTAGAATTAACACTGAAAGCAGTGGGTGGGAGAAGGTCTTGACACTTGGAAGCTACCACCAGGTCTTCAGTAATGGTGCTTTCTGTGGAGGCTGGTCCAAGAGGGCAACCAGGGCTTAGCCCTACCAAGAGAAATGCCCAGCATTTATTTATTTTTAACTGCATTCAGACTCTGAGCCCCCTCAAAAGGTATTCGAGGGGCAGAAAACAAAGGACATGGAGGAAGGGATGAAGAATCTCTAGACGGGAAAACAAGTAAACTATTTTTAAATTTTACCAGGCCAATGTCCAGCACATCTTGAAGCGCCATACGTCCTCCGGTAACACCAAGGGCAGCAGCAGGAGCGCATCGGGAGGCTCTGGAGCCAACAGTGCAGGCAGCATGGGTGCAGATGAGCCCAAGATGGATAAGGACGGAAACAGAAATTAGTAGGTGTAACACTAAATGTTGTCTCTCTCTCTCTCTCTCTCTGTGTGTGTGTGTGTGTGTGATCTTATTTTTATTTTATCAGGGCAAATGGCCATTATTCAACCAACTATTTGCGTTAAACGGGTTTACTTCCTGATTGGCCAGGCAGCTCTTCTGAACATGCTCAATACTCTAAGGCCACACCTGCACAGGGTTAGCTATGGCTTTGACTATAATTGGATACAACCCAATGGACATATTCTAAGTTGGAATAACAGGAGTCATGTATGGCTCCACATGTATTTTTTTTGGAACACCCAATAAATTATCCATGGTCCTGGTGAAAATCAGTTTGGCTTTTTCTAGAAAAAAAAAGAGATCTCTTGCTTGGGCTTTCTCAGGAGTGTCTCTCCCCCACCCCCATGTGTGGAATGCTCTCCCCAGGAGGCATGTCTGGCCGTCTTTACCTGTTTTTTGGTCTCTAAGGCCGCACCTGCACAGGGTTAGCAGTGGTTTTGACTATCATTGGAAACAACCCAACAGACATGCTCTAAGTAGGAATAGCAGGAGTCACATATGGCTCCACATGTTGAACCCCTGTGTATTATTTTTTGGAACTCCCAATAAATAATCCATAGTCCTGGTGAAAATCAGTTTGGCTTCTTCAATAAATTCTGAGATTTCTTCTTTGTGCTTTTTCAGGAGTGACTCTCCCCCACCACCATGTGGAATGCTCTCCCGAAGGAGGCATAATCTTTACCTGTTTTTTGGTGCCAGGCAGAAACATTTGGCTTCTTAAGGGTGGCACTGTGACCTGTTTCAGTGGGGAGGGATCTGGGAAGCTGTATTTTTACTTTAAATTGGATCTTCCAGGTTCCTTTTAATGTACTCCACTTTGGGTCACCCTATGAGAAAAGCACACATGATGGTGATAGTTTAATTAATTTTATTCATTGCTTGTTAGGAAAAAAAGAGATCTCCAAGTGACTTGCTACATGCCTGCATTGTAGGAGTTTAGACGAGATGACCCATTGTGTCCCAACTGTACGGTTCTATGATTTCATGATCATTTGAACAGCATATGATTAAGGGGTGGGGGAGCCTATTTCATTTGTTGGACCCATGGCGATGGGTAAGTAGTTCCAGAGCCAATTACAGGCAGAAGCCTTCCTCTACAGAGATGAGTTCTGCAAGGGCAAAAGATGAGAGGAAGGGAACTCACTGACCCTTTGGGTCTGTTGTAATTAAGAAGCTGGCAGGTGAGGTGAAGTTTGATTGAGGTTATGGAGTCCTGTGCCTCATTCGGTCTGAGGCTTTAGCCCATTCCTGCCCATAGCATTGGATACAGCCCAAGGAAAACGATGAGCAGTCCCCGCCCCCCCCCCATCTACCACACTGACCTTCCTGAAGCAAATTGAAAAGATGTTCAAGGAAAGCTACTGATAAGCAAATCAATGTAGGGAGGGTAGAAAGCCACTTCTGCAGCAGTGAGGCCTTAACCTCTCTTCTTTCTACAAATAGGGTCTGCTGCTTCAGAGAGGTATGCAGGAAAACGTGCCATCATTCAGTGAAGCCACATAAGACAAGGAGCCAGTGCAACAGAGTAGTCCTCATTGCAGATCTTCCTTCTTGGCACCTCAAGCCAGAATGCAGAATCCCAGTTTGATCTAAAAATCTGTTCCTTTGGACCCCACCCACCAACATATCTGAGGACCTTGATGCTTATGGATTCGGTTCAGCTCCAGGTTTTTAGGGAGGGGGATTGGGGGTTGGGCAGGAAGTCTTGATTTCATGCACAAGTCCACTCTGCCCCCCATCCCAAAAGTCTCTGGAAGGGGTTGAATTGGAGCCCATTTCAGGGAAAGAACATGCATAGCCATAACCACATAACTTGAACCTACACATTACAATAGTGGTGGAAAGAGGAGCTTAACAGAATCTGTATGACATCAAGCAATCTACACACTCTTTACTGTACAATCCTACATAGGAAACTATCCTTAATATAACTGCAAATAATGAAACATTCTTTGTTTTAATTTCTGTTGTGTAACCAATGATCAAAGTATTGATTGATTGATTACCAGAATGATGGAAAAGGCTATTAATAACTTTGATGTTTTCATTTCTTTTCGGCCTTGGCACTCTTTGCTATAATCACATATAACACAAGTGTAATGCAATTTCTAAAGTATAAGCAATCTAAAGTATGATTTCTAATGTATAAGCAAAGTAATTTAATTTCTAAAGTATAAGCAATCTATTGTGGCAAGAGGAGAAAATCTTAAAAAAAACTTCAATTGATGTTTTGTTTTCACATAATTAATAAAGAGAGCATTGCACGGCACTTCGCTCCTTTGTATATTTTTTCTTAAATGTGTCATTTCTGTCCTTGAATTGTGATCATGCCTCCTGCTCGCCTGGCAGAGAGATGTGTGATTGCGGAAAATGTCAGAGGTTTGCAGCAGAGTTCATTCAGTGTGTAATTTAAGGGTTAACTCTGTTATGAGTAAAGTCAGTAAACCGAGATGGTGGTGGTGGAGGCATTGCATTCCTTAGGCCAGCCTATCCAGACATTTTAAATGCTTTTTAAAAATTCTTTTCAACTGGTTTCTAATGAATACAAACACACACACACACACACACACACACACACACACACCCTTAGAGGTTTTACTGCAATCAAGAGCTATTGAAATTTTGTTGAATAAAAAAGGAAACAAACCAGGTATGATCTTCATGGAGGTAGCACATGGTCTGCTTGGCTGCTTAGTACAAAGGGAATTTTTCCACTGTATGTTTGCTTGCGTGTCTCCCTCCCCAGTGCAAGTGCTGGCTTAAGAATGACCACAACCTCTATGTCTCTTTCTCCTCAAATTTAACACGGCTTTTGTTCTGTTTGCTCAGTAAAACTCTCCATTGGCAGAGTTTTAATTAATGGTGTGCCAAAACCCACCATCTGATTTCTAGAACCTGTTTCTTCCCCTGAGAAAGAGGCATCAATTCTCCTGCACACGAGAAATTCTTTAGAATTAATTCATAAGGACTTCATTTTTATGAACAACAGCATACCAGCAGATAAGCAATTTTTTATTACATAGTAGGCAGGTACTAGGGACGGGTGGCGCTGTGGGTTAAAGCCTCAGCGCCTAGGACTTGCCGATCGAAAGGTCGGCGGTTCGAATCCCCGCGGCGGGGTGCGCTCCCGTCGCTCGGTCCCAGCGCCTGCCAACCTAGCAGTTCGAAAGCACCCCCGGGTGCAAGTAGATAAATAGGGACCGCTTACGGGCGGGAAGGTAAACTGCGTTTCTGTGTGCTGCGCTGGCTCGCCACATGCAGCTTTGTCACGCTGGCCATGTGACCCGGTAGTGTCTCCGGACAGCGCTGGCCCACCGGCCTCTTGAGTGAGATGGGCGCACAACCCTAGAGTCTGTCAAGACTGGCCCGTACGGGCAGGGGTACCTTTACCTTTACCTAGGCAGGTACTGCCTTTCCCTGTACTGACAAGGGAAAAACAAGAGGATGTGGTGAGGGGTTTTGAGGATGAGCAGGAAGTTGGAGAAGCATTAGTTGGCAACACCTCTCTCTCCAGGCGAAAGGATTCCTCTCAGATGACCAGTGAACACCTTTTGCCATGTTAACAGATTTGCGCTTTGCTAGGCCATCCAGGCTGGTTTGCGTAAGGTAGCCCTGGGATTCCTTGTCTGACACAGTTCTGCAGTTTGTACTTTCATCCATATCCCAGTTCATCAAAATCCTACCATTTATCAGTTTCTAGGGTTTAGGGGGTTCCCCCCAAATCTATAGAAATATGTTCCTGAATATGCAGCATCCCCTGAATTGACCTGATGCTTTGCAAGGGTCACCAACCAACCTGAAAATACCTGGCCCAGAAGTATCCTGAGCAGTAAAGTCTAGCTGCTCATTCACCAAGGAATTGGTCCATTCTAGGGAGTCATAGAATCATAGACTTGGAATAGACCACAAGGGCCATTGAGTCCAACCCCCTGCCAAGCAGGAAACACCATCAGAGCACTCCTGACATATGGTTGTCAAGCCTCTGCTTAAAGACCTCCAAGAAGGAGACTCCACCACACTCCTTGGCAGCAAATCCCACTGTCAAACAGCTCTTACTGTCAGGAAGTTCTTCCTAATGTTTAGGTGGAATCTTCTTTCTTGTAGTCTGGATCCATTGCTCCGTGTATCCGCTTCTCTGGAGCAGCAGAAAACAACCTTTCTCCCTCCTCTATATGACATCCTTTTATATATTTGAACATGGCTATCATATCACCCCTTAACCTCCTCTTCTCCAGGCTAAACATGCCCAGCTCCCTTAGCCGTTCCTCATAAGTCATTATTTCCAGGCCTTTGACCATTTTGGTTGCCCTCCTCTGGACACGTTCCAGTTTGTCAGTGTCCTTCTTGAACTGTGGTGCCCAGAACTGGACACAGTACTCCAGGTGAGGTCTGACCAGAGCAGAATACAGTGGCACTATTACTTCCCTTGATCTAGATGCTATACTCCTATTGATGCAGCCCAGAATTGCATTGGCTCCACCCTGAAGCCCCCTTTCTCCCTGACAGCAAGGGAGCTATCCTTGTGGGAGTGGGACAAAGCTAGAACACTCCCGGAGGCCTCATCCACCAACCTCTCTGCCTCCCATTAGTTACCTTGGCCTCAAGGGAAATAATGCAGAATAATAGCTAAAGGAGCTGAAAGCCAAGACCAAAAAGCCCAATGAAGAGATATATGAACCTTTTCCTCAATTTTGCCTTTTAGTCTGCTCTCATTTTAACTTGCTCCTCCCGTTATTTCTCTCCTTTGAATCCTTTCTTTCCCTTTGTCAAATAAAGCATTTTTCTTTCTTCCCTGCACTGCCCATTACTCTATTTCCTGAATTGTCTGCATAGGTGCCAACTATGCAAGGTCCTAAATTTCCTGGGGGTGCCTGGCAATCCCAATCTCACAAAAGGACACTCTTCCACTCAGTCTGGAGAAGTCCTGCCTCTGAATGGAGGGATGGAATTGGATGGGGATGTGGGGACTCTGTCCCTGCCCATGTTTGCAAGTGTGGGAGAGCAGGTTGAAGGGGGTATAGGGGTGTTTTAGTGGGTGAGTATTTCAGTGACTATTCAGTGAGAAGAATCTTGTTCTACAGTTGTTGATGTTTCATGTCTTCTATATGCTGTAGTATTTGATTTATTTATTTGCCAGTCTTTGTAAACCGCATCAGAATCCCTTCTGATACAAAAAGAGGTATAAAAGTTCAGGGGGGGGAGAGAATCATACCACAAATCCTCACTAATCTGGCAGTTCAGATTGCAGGGTCAGGGGGCACTCTTGCTGCATTTCAAATATAACTAGTCAGGGGGGAAATGAATTAGCAACCCCCACCCTGCACTTAAGGATGGGGTTGCATGACCAACGTCTCATGCTGTTGGAGAACCAATGAGGTGGTGAGAAATGTTAGGTACCATGGGGAAATAATCCCCTGTGCCCAGAAGAGTCTTGGGAATGAAGTTGAATTGCTTGTACCTACAAATGAGGCATGGAATCTGCTGAGGTGGTCCTGTTCCCAACAGCAATGCAATTTAACAGATGAACCATAATGCAGGTAAAATTAGTGGTCAGGGTGAGCTTGGCCCGTCAGGGACAATCTGGGGCATTTATTACTAAAGTCATTGCAGCCTCATTAGGCCAAGAATGGTGCATGTTCCTTGGTATGTGGTGCAAAACGAACTGAACTTGTCCACGGCAAAGCAGGAATATGCAGCTGTCTCATATATGGGGATCGAACCTGCAACCTTGGCATTACCAGCACCACGCTCTAGCCAACTGAGCTAACTAGGCTTGTCTCAAATGTGCTCTGGATGAGATCAGATAGTCAGAAATACTAAAAGAGAAGGGAGTTTCTTAAAGGTGAAGTATTGAAGGCACAAATGGAGACAATCAGGTGTGTTGCCTTGCCCCACAACAGTGGGTGCCCTCGGCAAGGTGATGTTACTGTGGCATGCGTCCATGCGTGCGTGATGTTGGCATGTCCCGCAGCGTGCTGACATCAATTGCACACCCTGTGGGACCATGTACACACCATGCACATAGAATATTGGGGGTGTCCCCTTCATTTAAAATTTGTGGGTGCCCAGGCACCCAGGACCTTGCATAGTTGGCACCTATGCAGACAATTCAGGAAATAGAGTAATGGGCAGTGCAGGGAAGAAAGAAAAATGCTTTATTTGACAAAGGGAAAGAAAGGATTCAAAGGAGAGAAATAACGGAGGAGCAAGTTAAAATGAGAGCAGACTAAAGGCAAAATTGAGGAAAAGGTTCATATATCTCTTCATTGGGCTTTTGGTCTTGGCTTTCAGCTCCTTTAGCTATTATTCTGCATTATTTCCCTTGAGGCCAAGGTAACTAATGGGAGGCAGAGAGGTTGGTGGATGAGGCCTCCGGGAGTGTTCTAGCTTTGTCCCACTCCCACAAGGATAGCTCCCTTGCTGTCAGGGAGAAAGGGGGCTTCAGGGTGGAGCCAATGCAATTCTGGGCTGCATCAATAGGAGTATAGCATCTAGATCAAGGGAAGTAATAGTGCCACTGTATTCTGCTCTGGTCAGACCTCACCTGGAGTACTGTGTCCAGTTTCTGGGCACCACAGT